CTTCTCAAGCAGTGCATTTATTATCAATTTGTATTGAAATTAAATTGGGGGGAATATCTGAAATATTCCATTGATATACAATGAACACACTTCAGTAGTTTGTGGCATATCAAATGGATTTTTAATATTGGTTTAGAGTGTAACACAGTTTAGACGATGTTACTCAATGATGGCCATGATTGTTAATGTTTTATATTAGCTGAAAGCTGTAAAATCATCCAATAACTCTGTTAGCATTAGAATAATAATTTACCAAGACAATTACCACATACTGGAACTTTTGCAGCCCTAATTCAGTATTATTAATAATGGATAAAATTGCACTTTTCTCAGGTTGCTGTGGGCAGCAGGGAATTATTTCAATGAATATTTCACCACATTACTTTGTTCCACCAAATCCAAGTGAGCAGTATTTTATAGTTCTTAATTCTGTCTACTGTGAAACCAGAGTCATTAAATTGCACACTCTTTGTAGTGAGATCTATCCTGTGATTTACAAGCCTTGTTAAAAATATTGTAAAAGAATGCAAACTGACATTAATACTTGTAATTTGATGCTACATTTATTACTAAACTCCCCATGATTAATGTGGGTTTTTTAGGAGAAGGAAGAACATTAAAAAGAAAGGAGAGCTGAGTATTATAATGCTTAAATCAGAGAATGTTACTATTTTAAGTTGTGTTCATTTATAAACATATATATACAAATAAAATTATAAATATCTCAAAATTGTCTTAATTTTCTAGTGAGATCAAATAAATATTTAATTTTATAGAAGAAAAGTGTTCAGTTATACATTATTAGTAATAGTATATTATTCTCTCTTTGTTTTCCCATTAATAGCCAATTACATGATTTCTGGCGTTTGGATTACTGGGAAGATGATCTTCGTAGAAGGAGACGATTTGTTCGTAATGCATTTGGCTCCACTCACGCTGAAGCATTACTCAAGGCTGCAATAGAGTATGGTTAGTACCACTGTGGCAACATTACATTTCTTGTTTGCTAAGTCATTTTTTTCACTAGCATTAAAAATTTTCATGTCATAAGTAAATATTATGCTCTACTTTATCCTTCAGCGTCATGTAGGTAGGCTACAATGAATAAACCCAGTATTTGCCTGCTGGATGTTTTTTAGTTCCTTCAACTTCTAAGAGATTAAACAGCTACACATAGTTAGTTATTACCCAAAATTCTTCTCATACAGCCTAAAACAAGAATATACTCAGCTTCTTTTTCAGTGTCTTTCAAACTTTGGTGACCAGGACCCAAGGTGAAAACTATTGTACTGTTGGTAATCATGTACCCAGACTTATATATATATTTTACTTATATTTGTGTCTATATTTATTTGTTTGTATATACACACATATGTACATTGTGTGAATACACATAAGTATATGAAATATGTATACACATATATACTTTATATACATATACACACATGTAAAAGGTTGTATTTAAATGAAGCAAATGTCTTATTAATAATCTCATTACTAATCCTATTCTATTCTATTCTATTCTGTTCTATTCTGTTCTATTCTATTCCTTTTAGTAAAAATAAAATAAATCCTGCTAAAAATATGCTCATTTAAGCCCCAATCTTCCAGTGGGTTGCAAATAAAGTTTGAGAAAGATTATCCCACATTAAAAATATTATCAATTAACACATTACAGTAGGACTGTACCCTAAATTGTCCTTTATAATATAATAAATAGTAAATACCAAAAATATTTTGTAATGTAATTAAAATGTTGTTACTTTTGCCCTAACTGGTGTGGCTCAGTTGGTCGGAGCCTTGAACCATGCACCTAAAGGTGACAGGGTTGATTCCTGGTCAGGGTACATACCTGGGTTGTGGATTCTATGGCCAACTGATCAATGTTTCTCTCTCTAAAATTAAAAAAAAAAAATGCTGTTACTTTTCATTGCTATTTACTAAGAAGTATTCATATGAGCATTTTGTCTATTTACACATTTTTAAATGCTCTTTGCAAGTTAAGTTTGATCGATCAGAATTTTTTAAACCATATACACTTGGGAAAATACTTAATGAATACCATCCATATATTTTTATTATTAACTACTTTTGTTCTTAAAATTACTCATGTTTTTATATTAATTTTCATTCATTTGAGAGTAATAAATTAGCCATTTGTTTTAAAATTTACCTTACTTTATAAACTTTAATAACATTCATGTTCTTGATGGATTGAGTGGAGAAAATATTTAATTCTGGTAAAAAGGAAATGTGCAAAGCTTTTAAAATTTGTTGCTCAAATTGTATGTGAATTGCTATAACTTAGTAAGGCTCAAAATATAAACAAATATGTGAGGATTTCATATGAAACTATTATATCTAATATAGTAACTTTATACAGTAAAAGGAACTACAGGAAACTATATAATAGGAAAAATTATAGTTGACCTGTTCTATAGATTTCTTTAATGAACTCAGAAGATCACCTAAGGAAGTTAGCACCTAAGGACTTAGTACCAACTTAAAAATGAGGTATTATTTTTGTGCTCTATAGAAGAGATTCTTAAAATTAGCTACTTAAAGTGCTTTATAATAGGAACTTAAAAATCATTAAAACTTCACTTCATATACACAAAAATTTAGAATTTTTGACCAATTCACCTTGAATTCATGTCCTTTGAAATGAGAAATACCTGCAGACGATTTATGGTAAAGGTTACAATAGAAGTAATATTATAAGTGATGCTGATTTACCAAACCTTGAATTATTTATAGGATTCACAAAGTATTCTACTACATTCAGTATTCTATGGGTTGCTTCAAAAAAGGATCTAATAGGGAAAATTTGGCTGGAGTGGCTCAGTTGGTTCGGCATCCTCCTGTGTACTAAAAGGTTCCCAGTCAGGACATGTGTGTACCTGGGTAGTGGGTTTCATCCCCATTTGGGAAGCATATGGAAGGCAACTGTTCAATGCTTCTCTCTCTTTCTCAGTCTCTCTCTCTCTCTCGCTCTCTCTCTCTCTCTCTCTCTATCTCTCCCCCTCTCTCTCTCCTTCTCTCCCTCCTTCCCTCTCTCTCTTCTCCCTCCCTCCTGGTTCCTCTTCTTCTCTCTCTAAGTATGTCCTTGAGTGATGATTTTTTTTAAAGGGGTCTGTCAGGGACTTTTATAATAAATATTCGATCAGCTGCTTCCTGCATACCTCCTACTGGGGATGTACCCGAAACCAAGGTACATGCCCTTGTCCGGAATCAAACCTGGGACCCTTCAGTCTGCAGGCTGACACTCTATCCACTGATCCAAACCAGTTAGGGCTCATTTATGAATTTTAAATACTGCATCATCAGCATTATCAGAAGCTATTAACTCTTGTTTGTTGGATTCTTTGATAAATTTAAAGAGGAGTAAATTCTTATTTTATTCATATTTAAAAGAAAGACCACATGCATGCTATGAAATATCCAAGAAATCTACATTGTACTTAGGCCAGAATTATTATGTGGTCATCCTCAGGTTTAAGGTTGTCTAATGGAAGACTAAAAAAGAACTAATACAATTATACTCCCAAAACCAATTCTAGAGCATGACTCTTCAACCTTCATCATGGTTCGCATCTAAAGACTTTTGAAAGTGAATAGAAAGTAGGGAGCCAAATATGGAGGAAGTGACTGGAAAATATTCCCTGAAGTGATCCATACATATAAATAGAAGGAAGAATTACAAACCACCAAGAGGAAAATGTATTGTACATTTTTTCAAACTCTGCCTTCTAAACTATGTACAAAATATTTCTGCAAAAGAAATAGGAAAAGTCAATAATTATTACAAAGTAGTTCATCTAATAAAAATAGATATTGAACTGTGGCAGGTATGGCTCAGAAATTGAGCATCTTCCATGCACCAGAAAAAGGTTATGTAACGTGCCCAGTAGGGAGTGTATAGGCAGCCTATTGGTATTTCTCTCCTCCTTCTTTCTTCTCTCTATATAAAACCTATAAAAACACATTTTTAAAAACAAAGATGTTGAAAAACTTATTTGAAGACTTTTTCTATATTTTAAAGAAAACTTTTATATTCACATATTGTAAGAACATTTATATAAAAGTAAAGAAACTCAGCCCTTCATCTGGCCCCTCTACCTGCCTTTAAACATATAAATGTGTTTAAGTATCTTTAAATCTGGTGGTGTATTAGACTAAGATCCAAATGATTGAATATTATGGTTTATATAGACATAGGTAAAGGATATAATTATAGCACAAATCTAAAAGTTTTGGAAGAGCTTCAGGAACAAATTGGAATACAATTTATTTCTTCCTCTGTATTAAATAATTACAGTATCTTAATTTTCCTAAAAACCCTATCTTGAAAATAGAAACTGCTATAATCTTTGGTCAAAATATTTTTATATTTATCTATATTGTAGCAAAATGTTTTAGAAATGAAAGAATATTTTATGAATGGACTTTCAGTAAGCTAGAAGTATTTGAAATAGTGATCAAAGTTTTCAGAATTTTAAAATTGTACAAGCTGAGGAAATTATCTTAAATTACTTAAGTAGGGATTATTTACATGGTTATCAAAGCAATCCCTGGTATTTGAACACTGGTCAAGTCTATCTGTTCCTGTAGTACACTATGTGTTAAGAATGTGAGCCTGAACAATCAAGATGGTGGCTTAGATAAACACCTGAATTTGCTGCCTCTGACAACCACATCAAAACTTCAACAAAGAAACAAAACAAATATCCAGAACCATGGGAAAGCTGGCTGAGTGGAAATTCTACAACTAGAAGGAAAGAAAGAAAGCACATTGAGACTGGTAGAAGGTGCAAAGATATGTGTGAAATGGGCTGGCAACTGTGTGTGCTGTCGTTTTTTTTTCTATTAGGAGGGAGATACAAGATCCCAATTATTCTGAACTCCTGTTCTGGGTGAGATTCTGCGGACCTAGACTCATATGGGGAGAAACTGGACTGTCTGGCATTGGGCCAGAACACGACAGTGGCTTTCTCTCGGAAATGCTCACAGCAATCATTGTTCCTGCACTGGGGCCATGGGACACAGAGACCCAGAGACCTCTCCAGGCCATTGCTGTTTGTTCTGTCTTGGTGATTCCCTGAGACCGCACCACACCCAATTTATAACCCCACCCAAGCTGTGTGCGGCAGGTTTTGCATGTGAATGGCCTGTCCTTTCGCAGCCTAAAACCTAACAAACTGCACCTAGGTCAGAGAGCTCCTAAGTTCCAAATGAAGGCCAAAAACCCAACAGCAGCAGCCTGCATTGATTCATGGCTGAGTCTCATCTGGGCACTTCCAAACCCCAAACAAAGAAGAGGAATCTGCAGATCTCTCTGTAGCTCCTGCTGGGTGGCCTCAGGCAGTGGCTGACTGGAGATTCAAGAGCCAGTGTAACCAGTGGTCAGTGTCAGACTATTCCAGATTACAACTCTTCATATCCATAAGTGACACTCTCAAGAGGCAGACTCAGTGATCATCAAAACCCCACTGAAGCAAGTCCTGTCCCATAAGGGTGTCTCCCGCACAGCAATTCTCCCATTGTAGACACAGTTGGTCCTCACAGCCAATTGGCCTGGAGGTCAATTCCTCCCAGTGATACAAACAGCAATCAAGGCTCAACTACAACAAGATTGTGCACACAGACCACACAGAGGTGCACCTAGAGCATCCACCTCAGGTAACGGGAGCCTGAGTCACTGGGCCCTATAGGACACCTAGCATGCAAAGCCACTCTATCAAAACAGGGAAGCTACCAAAATGCAGAGACAGAGAAACATACCACAAATGAAAGAAATGGAGGAAAGCAAACTACTGGATATAGAGTTCAAAACTATGGTTATAAAGTTACTCAAGAATCTTCTAGAAACCTCTGAGAAATTTAGTGAGATTTTTTAAGAATATGAAAAAGGACCAATCAGAAATTAAGCATACATTGACTGAAATAAAGAATAATATTCAGGAGCAGTGTGAGGAGAGGAGATCAACCCCCAAACTGAGCAAGGCCTGCACACTGCTGCACCCCTGTGTCCCACTCAGATGTCCCGCCACCATTGCCATCATACCCAAGAGAAAGGATGAAGGGGATACTAAAGGAGATAAAGCCAAGGTGAAGGATGAACCACAGAGAAGATCTGCCAGGTTATCAGCTAAACCTGCTCCTCCAAAGCCAGAGCCCAAGCCTAAAAAGGCCCCTGCAAAGAAGGGAGAGAATGTACCGAAAGGGAAAAAGGGGAAAGCTGATGCTGGCAAAGGTGGAAATAATCCTGCAGATAATGGAGATGCCAAAACAGACCAGTCACAGAAAGCTGAAGGTGCTGGAGATGCCAAGTGAAGTATGTGCATTTTTGATAACTGTATTTCTGGTGACTGTACAGTTTGAAATACTATTTTTTTAAATCAAGTTTTGTAAAAATGCAGAATTTTGTTTTATTTTTTTTAAGCTGTGTTGTTAGCACACAGAACACTTCATTGTTATTTTTTTTGGGAAAGACATATAGTACTAATAGAATATCTTCAAAGCTAGATTGACATAGGGGAGAAATACCTTTCCCTTCTAGTTTTGGGAAAATTTCTCTTGGTTCCTGGGAGGAGGGATCTCTTGATGTTGGCACACATTAGCCATCTTGGCACAAACACCTTGTCGTGTGGGAAAACTAAAATTCATGTTTATGCCCTTTTCTCCCTCTCCACTATAAGCATAGACTTTGGCTGTCTTAAGCCCAGAGACCTACTGGGATCTGATCTAAAAAAATTGATTTCCAGTATGTTGGGCAAACTGGATTTTCCAGTGTCACCGTTGAGATGACATTCCTCAAAAGAGAAGCAGTTCTTTTTTTAGATTGTGGATCTACAGATTGATATTCTCTGCCATTTTCATTACATTTCCTGAAATTCAGGGTCAGCTTGTGAAAAGTTGTTAAACAACATGTTTAATGTGAAATGTCAACCCTCACTCTAAACTTTTCCTGTTCAGAGCATCAGATTAAGACTTCATTGGGTTTTATAGTGGTTTTCTGATTTTAGTAGTTCATTGAATAAGGGAGTTTGAAAATTGTTGTGTACTGTTAATGATTGTCTGCCCATGTCTTGCCTGAAATACCATGATTGTTTATGAAAAGTATCTTTAATAAAGCTGGATACAGTTTGGGAAAAAAAAAGAAAAAAAGAATAATACATAGAGATTCAACAGCAGGCTAGGGAATCTCAAGAATCAAGTCAAAGATTTGAAATATGAAGAAGCAAAAAACACCCAACTGTAAAAGCAAGAAGGAAAAACAAATCCAAAAATATAGAGATAGCCTCTGGGACAACTTCAGGTGTACCAACATTTGAATTATGGGGGGTTCCAGAAGAAGAGAAAGAGCAAGATATTGAAAATCTATTTGAAGAAATTATGACAGAAAACTTCCCCTACCTGGTAAAAGAAATAGACTTACAAGTCCAGGAAGTGCAAAGAACCCCAAACAAGAAGAATTCAAAGAGGACCACACCAAAACACATCATAATTAAAATGCCAAGGGCAAAAGACAAAGAGAGAATCTTAAAAGCAGCAAGAGAAAAACAGTTAGTTACCTACCAGGGCGTATCCATATGACTGTCAGCTGATTTCTCAACAGAAACTATGTAGGTCAAAAGGGAGTGGCAAGAAATATTCAAAGTGATTAATAGCAAGAACCTACAACCAAAATTACTCTACCCAGCAAAGCTATCATTTAGAATTGAAGGTCAGATAAAGAGCTTCACAAATAAGAAAAAACTAAAGAAGTTCATCACCACCAAACCAGTATTATATGAAATGCAGAAGGGTGTTCTTTAAGAAGAGGAAGATGAAGAAAAGGTAAAGATAAAAATTATGAACAACAAAGTAACAACAAATACATATCTATCAAGTGAATCTAAAAATCAAGTGAATAAAAAATCTGATGAACAGAATAATATAATAGAATCAGGGCATAGAAAGGGAGTGGACTGGCAATTCTCAGGTGGAAGGGGGTATGGGGTTTGCAGGAAGAGATTGGACAAAAACCTTACTCCTATGGATGAGGGCAGTTGGGGGTGGAGGGTAAGGGCATAGGGTGGGGTGTGAACTGGGTGGAAGGGAGCTATGGGGGGCGGAGGGGGGAAGAGGAACAGTTGTAATAATCTGAGTAATAAAGATTTATTTTTTAAAAAAAGAATGTGAGCCTATGCTGTATAATAAAATCCAAATATGCTAATGTCCAGTCATCCATTCAACCAATCAAAGCATAATATGCTAATGATAGGCTGAGGCCACTCAACCACTTGCTATGATGTGTACTGACCACCAGGAGGCAGTCAGTCTACTGGTCAACCAGCTGCTATGACGTACACTAGTCACCAGGGGGCAGATGCTCTGACCAGTAGGTTAACTTACTTCTGGGATCTGGCTTTTTGGGACTGAGCAAAATGGGCCGAACATACCCTGTTGACCTCCCACAGTCCCTCCCTGGCTAGCCAACCTCCCACATCCCTCTCCTGCCCTGATCGTGCACCGGTGGGGTCCCTCAGCATGACCTGTGCCTTCTCGCAATCCAGGACCCCTCAGAAAATGTCAGAGAGCCAGTTTGGGCCTAATCCCGCAGGCCAGGCCAAGGGACCCCACTGGTGGATGAATTCATGCACTGGGCCTCTAGTAGTAACATAATGTAAATGAAACTGAATTAGCAAACTTAATGTTTTAGTGAAAATATTTTAATTATTTGATTTTTTCCCTTAAAATGAGTCAAATATTTTAATTAAATTATAGTTGGACTCTCATGTGATAGATGATATAAATCAGCCATAATTTGGATTTTTTAACTTTCTCTTTAGGCAATGTATTTTGAGCCACAAGACAAATAGTTAAATTTCTTTTAAATAATCAAATAATCACAATTGGATATATTTTCAAGGAAACATAAGGACAGTACTTTTATTTCATATTTACTTTGTAAAGCTTTTCTTTTGATTTCATTATTAAAACTTTTGGTTGACCTTTTTCAGTTGGAAAACATCTGTAACACTGATGGAGTTTTTCATGCTTCTTAGTAATACTAATGAGTTGAATAATTTATGAGGTTGTCATGTGCAAGAGATTTGGAGTGATTTTTATATACTTTCAGCCTCTGGTGTTGAAATGAGATTAATAAAAACCTAGAGGCGTGTAATTTTTTTTATGGTGTTTAATGTTTTAGAATTATATGTATTGACTGTGTTTTTTATGTGTTTTCTAAAGTAAAATCTAATACAAATGCAAATTTAATTGATTACCAAGAATTTATCAGACCACAACAATGGATGAATATAAGGAAAATATTTCAAAACTTATAAATTCATCTTCTGATCTACAATGTTTTTTTCTTCATGGAAAATTAGCTAGCACTGATTGAAAAAGGAGGGTTTTGTATAATACATATTTGTACGTTTAAACAAAACCTATACTAGTTAACTTTTGGTGCATTACTGATGCTTACTGATTATGCTGTCAAAGAAAAGTACAAAATCTTAGTAAGTTTGCTCATCTTTGTTGACTGTCAATGATCATTTCAGACTCTTTCCCTTCCATAAAATTATAGTGGAGCAATGTTTCATCAAAGCCTAAGATGACAAGCTCCCCATGACTGTGATCAAAGACAACATCTTAAATAGGTCTGATCAATGATCACAAAAGAGGACAGATTGCTTCAGTTGGAGGAAAAAATAACATGGAGCAAAGATGACAAAGTTAATCAGTTATTTCTTTAGCAATAAATAATAAGAGATGCTGAGAATTGCAAATGAGAACATCCTTAGGTTCCTCAGAGATGTGCCTGCTTAACACCTAATTTATTTAAGTTTGTGAAGCCACCAAGATTTGACCTTGATGAATAAAAAGCAGCTTTGTACTGAATCTGGAATTAAATTTGTTTTGATGCTATATGTATGCTTACTGTAATTTGTTACTTGCAGCCATCAAAAAATAAGAAAAGCACTCAGAATAAAAATATACTAATTCAATAATCCAGTTGTTGAAAAAGAAGCATTGAATTATCTGACTTGTATTTTTTCTGATTTAGTTTTTAAAGAGTTTGCAGTTCTATCTGAGAAAGGTGATTTTATTTTTTAACCTAATAACCTATTGTTTGTATTGTGTAGAGACCCTAGCAAATGTCTTATTATTGATCATTGATAAGTTTATTTTAATTGGTGTATTATTAATTGACTGTCCATATCTATAATGAATAGATAATCAAATTATGGCTTAAATTATTTTTTGAAATGTTAATGGTGTAAATTTTTTAAAAGAGAGGTAGAGAAAGATAAGCAGGGAATAATCTTTCAGTTTGTTTTGGTGCCAGTGTCACATATTTCACTTCATTATATTAGATGTCCCTCTCCCCAACACACACACATTGTGCCCCTGTACCTGGTCCCTACCTTGCCCCTTCACCACCCTATTATCTGTATCTTTAGGTAAGATCTTCCCTCCCTCCAACTTCCCTCTGAGATTCCTCAGCCTATTCCATGCTTCCATGCCTCTGATTCTGTTTTATTCACCAGGTTATTTGTTCATTATATTTCTTGTTCATTTTTTATTTTTATTTTAGACTTGATTGTTGAAAGACATGTATTTGTTGCCATTTTATTATTCATACTTTTTATCTGTTCTTCTTTTCCTGCTCCTCCTCCTCCTCCTCTTCCTTCTTCTTTCTTCTTCTTTCTCTTTCTTCTTCCACTTTTAAAAAATACTTTTCAACATTTTGTATAATGCTGGCTTATAGGGATGAGTTCCTTTAACTTTTGATTGTCTGTGAAGCTCTGACCATCAATTCTAAATGATAGGTTTGCTGGGTAGAGTAATTTTGATTATAGGTCCTTACTTTTCATCACTTTGAATATTTCTTGCCATTCCCTTCTAGCCTACAAAGCCTGTGTTGAGAAATCAGCTGACAATCAAATGGGCACTCCCTTGTAGGTAATTAGCTGCTTTTAAGATTCTCTCTTTGTGTTTAATCTTTGGCATTTTAATTATGATGTGCTTGGTGTAGACCTCTTTGAGTTCCCCTTTGTTTGGGACTCTCTGCGCTTCCTGTACTTGTAAGTCTATTTCTTTCACCAGGTAGGGGAAATTTTCTGTCATCATTTCTTCAAATAGGTTTTCAATACATATCTTGCTCTCTCTCTTCTTTTTCTGGCACCCCCACAAATCAAATGTTGGTACACTTGAAGTAGTCCCTAAGGCTTCTTACACTATCTTCATACTTTTTGTATTCTTTTTTTTTTTGCTCTTCTAATCGGATATTTTTTGCTTCCTCATATTCCAAATCCTTGATTTGATTCTCAGAATCCTCTACTCTACTGTTGAATCCTTATAAATTATTCTTTATTTCAATTAGTATATGCTTAATCTCTGACTAGTCCTTTTTCATGCCTTTGACATTCTCACTAAGATTCTTGAAATTTGTATGAAAATCCTTGAGTAACCCTATAACCATGGTTTTGAACTCTGTATCCAGTAGTTTGCTTGCTTCCATTTCTTTCATTTGTGACATGTTTCTTTGTCTCTGCATTTTGGCTGCTTCCTTGTGTTTGTTTCTATGTATTACATAGAGCTGCTATGTTTCCTGGAATTGATAGTGACTTTGTGTAGTAAGTGTCCTCCTGTAGGGCTCAGTGGCTCAGACTCCGCAGTCACCTGAGCTGGCACTCTAGATGTGCCCCTGTGAGGACTATGTGCACAGTCTAGTAGTTGAGCCTTGATTGTTGTTGGTGTCACTGGGAGGAATTGACCTCCAGGCCAATTGCCTGTGAGGATCAGCTGGTACTACAGTGGGAGAGCTGCTGTGTAGGAGACATCCCTTTGGAGAACCACTTGCTTCAGTAGGGATTTGGAGTCTTTTATGGATGTGTAGAGTTGTAATCTACTATGTTTTGAAGCT